AACCAGTTGTTGGCATGACACGGGTTATGTTCTTCTCATATATGTTATGATGGTATGATACTAAACCCCTAACGGGAAGGATTGTGCCTGATATTCATATGATGAAGACATAATCTTTCAATCAGTTTAATTGAAGTTTGGAGCTGGCATGTCAGTTAACTGCTAGTAGTCTGTTGTTATTTATGTATTATTGTCATTTTGTTTATTTTCTTTGGTTACATCTTCTGACATCAGACTCGGACTTCTCTTGAACTGAATTTTAATGTGCGTATTGTTATGCGTTTACTTTTCTACATTGGCTAGAGGTATAGGGGGAGGGTTGAGATCTCATAAACATGTTTAACCCCGCCGCATTTTTGCGCCTGTCCCAAGTCAGGAGCCTCTAGCCTTTGTTAGTCTTGTATTATTTTTAATTTTAGTTTCTTGTGTACAATTTGGAGTTTAGTATGGCGTTCATTATCACTGAACTAGTATATATATTTGTTTAGGGGCCAGCTGAAGGACGCCTCCGGGTGCGGGAATTTCTCGCTGCATTGAAGACCTGTTGGTGGCCTTCTGCTGTTGTCTGTTCTGTGGTCGGGTTGTTGTCTCTTTGACACATTCCCCATTTCCATTCTCAATTTTATTTGAATGCTTATAATGATTTTGTACAAATTTCATGGCATAGTATTTGCAGATAATCATCTTATCTAGAGCCTTATGAAAGCAGAGTTTAATATATGAAACAATCATATAATCCAAACAAGATATAATGAACCTTAGGTGTTTCAGATACCAACATTCAGTTTTATTTCATTTTTTGATAACATTTTTTTTTACAGGGCCCAATTGTTGTGAGTAAACCCATTTGTTCATTGACAAAATTGCTGATTATTCAACTGAATTAATCTTGTTCATGCTTTAACTAAGCTGCAAGTAATTTTTTATTTGCTTTAGAATTTACTCCTCAGTAAAATATTTGATAGAAGAATAACTATTAGTTTGAGGAAATGATAAGCATTTACTTTTTATATATATATTGGAATGGGTCAAAATCAGCTTTTATTCAGTGTTAATCCCAGTGAATTTGTCGTTTGTGAAACTGTCAGCATTGCTTCAAAATAGTATTTATGAATGTTTTACTATTTTCTTTTAAAATGCTATATTCATGTTGATGTTGTTGTGTGCAGATAGATATATAGCATGGTGACAATAAAGGACTATATGTACTTGTGGCTAATTTAGTTTCAATTCCAAGTAATCAATGTAATCTATTGTATTCACTTTATGTTTTTCAAGTATTGTAAACTTACAAAAAAACCAGTGTTAGTTAAAACCAAAACTGAAGAAGTGCTGATGAAACATCATTGATATTTGGTATACTGAGTTGCATCAGCATATGCATCTATATTACATTATATAAGAACCTCCACCTTTTGTCATGCTACCGGTGACTCCATATAAGTTGTATTTAAGTCAGAAGTTTTACTGGATCAATTTGAGAAGAAATTCTTTTTTAGCTCACCTGGCCCGAAGGGCCATGTGAGCTTTTCTCATCACTTGGTGTCCGTCGTCCGTCATCGTCGTTAGCTTTTTACATTTTGAACTTCTTCTAGAGAACCACTGAATGGAATGAAACCAAACATGGCATGAATGTTCCTTATGAGGTGCTGACCAAGTGTTGTTACTTTGTAGCCGATCTATCATCCAAGATGGCCGCCAGCGGGGGACTTAGTTTAACATAGGACCCTATGGGAAATACATACAAATGTGGTCTTTTAGAGAACCACTAAATGGAATGAAATAAAACATGGCATGAATGTTCCTTATGAGTTGCTGACCAAGTGTTGTAACTTTCTAGGCGATCAATCATCCAAGATTGTCACCAGCGGGGGAATTCTTTTAACATAGGACCCTATGGGAAATATATACAAATGTCTTCTTTTAGAGAACCACTAAATGGAATGAAACCAAACATGGCATGAATGTTCCTTATGAGGCGCTTACCAAGTGTTGTTAATTTGTAGCAAATCCATCAACCAAGATGGCTGCCAACAGGGGACTTAGTTTAACAAAGGAAATATATACAAATGTCTTCTTCTAGAAAACCGCTTAATGGATTGAAACCAAACATGGTATGAATGTTTCTTTTGAGGTGCTGACCAAGTGTTGTTACTTTGTAGCTGATTTGTCATTGTCCTTATAGTCATTTTCTACAATTTCAATGAATTTATTGGAAATTTCTGTAAATTTTACAAAAGTCTTCTGCTTTTGATTAAATTACGGGGCCAATATTAAACCAAATTTGGCCTCAATCATTATTAGGGTATCTGTTATGATTTTAATCTAATTTTACATGATTTCCAAACCAAAGTTGAATCAGGTGAGCGACACAGGCTCTTGGGAGCCTCTAGTTTGCTTTAAGTTTGTAACATGTTATTTTATGCTCAAGTGACATTAAGCAGATAAAATGCCAGTCACTTAATTGTTAGATGGATTTCAAAATTTTGAAGGACATAACATCCAAGGACTATGTTTTTAAGACCTGTATGTGCCCACATATGTTTTTATTTATTTATCATTTTTAGTATATCTATATGGAATGACATTTTTTTTTAAATAAACCCATTTTACTTTCTTTTAGCTGCATGAAGTTGTCATTTGACCAAAATTTCTGTATTATTAATAAATATAAGGTCATCATGATGTCAGAATTTCAAAGTGATGGAAATTCATGGTATAAAAATAAGAAGATGTGGTATGATTGCCAATGAGACAACTCTCCACTAGAGACCTAATGATGTAGAAGGAAGCAACTATTGGTCACCATAAGGCCATCACAATGAGCAAAACAGCAAAACTCATATAGCATTAAAAGGCATGGAAATGGCAATGCTAATCTTCATAGCTGGAGGTCATGGGTTTGATCTCTGGCTGGGTCTAACAAAAAAAGTTGAACATTGATATTTGCTGCTTCTTTGCTAAGCATGTGGTTCAGCCTGTTGGTCTTCAGCATTGGGTTCATATTATATTGTATTCAACTCACATTAGCATGTTCTTTTCCCAAAATGTTAGTCACATTTTCTACTGAAAGTTAAACACCAATTTATCCATCCATTTTTGTTCGAAAATTTACATAGCATATTTCTTTTTATGTTGTCAAAATAATGTTATTTTCAACCAAATTCAGAGAAAAAAAGGTAAATATTCAGTGGCTTTTAGGACCAGAAACATAAAGTGCATGTGTCAAAAAAAATAAAAAATTGGAACAATGTTATAACAAATAACCTACTGTGGACTCATTTGTTTTTTCGAGGGTACCAACTTTGGTGGATTAAGGAAAGATTGTATTTTCGTGGATACTTGATTTCGTTAAAAGAAGTCAAATCATATTATAGAATTCTTTAACTTCATACAAACCTTTGTTTTCATCATGAATAGTTTGTAAATACCATTGAAATTAATGATTCCTAATTGAGTATTTTTAAAATTTTGCTTTTATACGACTGCAAAAAATGTGCATCGTAATATTGTCGTCTGAAGACACATTTGGTTTCCAGACAATGACTTTAGTTTAAGTGAATGGATATCTATGAAATTTTACCAGAAGGTTCAATACCACAAAAGGAAGGTTGGGATTGATTTTGGGGGTTATGGTACCAACAGTTTAGGAATTAGGGGCCAAAAAGGGGCCAAAAACAAGCATTTTTGTATTTTCCGAACAATAACTTGTGTGTAAGTGTATGGATCTCTCTGAAATTGTACCACAAGGTTCCATATCACAAAGGGAAGGCTGTGAATGAGTTTTGGGTAATTGCCCCAAATGTTCAAGAATTAGGGGACAAAAACAAGCATTTTTCTAGTTTCCAGACAATAACTTGTGTTCAAGTGTATGGATCTCTCTGAAATTGTACTACAAGGTTCCATCCACAAAGGGAAGGCTAGGGATTGAGTTTGGGGGTAATTGCCCCAAACATTTAGAAATTAGTGGCAAAAAAGGGGCCAAAAACAAGCATTTTTCGAGTTTCCAGACAATAACTTGTGTTAAAGTTAATGGAACTTTCTGAAATTGTACATTTTTTCTGAAAAGAAAATAATCTTCAAAATTTCAAAAAAAATTGGGGGAGGGGGGGTTGGGGGTATTTCAAATTTTTTTGGAGGGTTCATATTTTCTTCAAAACTTTTGAAATTGTAATTTTATCAAAAAAAAATTTGGGGGGGGGGGGGGGGGGGGGGGGGGGACAAATTTTTTGGGGAGATTTTTTTTTTCATAATTTTTTGGGTTTTTTATTCCCTAAAATTTTCCATTTTTCCATTTATTATTTCTGATATATATATAAAAGTAACAAATACTGATATGGCAGGAGATATATCCACACCAAACAGTGTTTAAATTATGATATATAACAGATTAACTAAGTATTGTGCAACAGCACAATATTGCGCATTAGCAAATAAATCTTCAATTGAAAATACATACAAATCTTTTAACCAATTTCAATGGGATTAAATTAAGTCTTTAATTTTTGGGGGTTCTAACCTTGTAATACAATTTTGATTTTCAATTTGGTTTCCATTTGAATTGTAGCACAGTTATACTGGTGAAAAATTTGAAATAATAGTACATGATTATTTGTCCCTCAAAAGCATACTATATTAAAGTAAGGAGATGTGTATGACTGCCAATGAGACAACTATCCACTAGAGTTCAAATGATGTAGATATAAGCAATTATATGTCACCATAGTCTTCAACAATGAGAAAAACTTATACCCTCTAGTCCACTATAAAAGGCCCTGACATGAAAAATGTGAAGTGTCTTTGTCACCTTTTAAATAAAAATGTTTTCTCTTGATAAATGTGCACTTCTGGTTGCATTAATTGGCAGTGCCAGCTATTTTGAATTATAAAAAAGATTAATGATGTTATTTTAAGTAGTTACTACAAAGGATTTTGTCCTCTTTTACAAGATGGACAGAACAGCTGCCTCATATTTATTAATAAATGTGATATTCTTTCAGTTTGTTGTAAATGTAACCAGTTCACAAAGAATCAACATATGCTATATGAGTTAGCCATAACTGAGGGTTTAGAAATGCACGATGTTGTCCCTGATGGAAATTGTATGTTCAGAGCAATCATTGACCAACTGAGAATGCAGGGGGAGCTAACTCTGACATGTCATCGTATCAGACAGAGGGCAGTTGATTATCTGAAGAATAATCCTCTCCAGGATGATGGTACTCATCTGGAAGATTTCTTTGTTGCTGAAGATGAATCCTGGGAAGAATATCTAAAGAGAATATCTAGGGATGGTGAATGGGGAGATCAGATTATACTGAGGTAAACTTAAAAAGATGTCAAGGAATGGTTATTAGGGGATCGATATATATATAGGTAAAAGTGAGGAGAATGTATAGAAATGTGGAATAATAGTAGATCAGATCATAGTTATAAGTAAAGTGTAGAAGAATTAAGGAATGGTAAATGGGAAGATCGTATAATAGTTCAGTAAAGTTGAAGCGTTTGTTTAGGAATGTGAAATTGGAAGATCAAATTATAAGTAGGTTATTAAAGTTGAGGATAATTTTGAGGATAAGTGAATGGAAAGATCAGATTTTACTGAAGTATCTCCTGTGACAAAATAACAGATTCCTTTATTTTTATTATGCCCCCGCTCGCGGTGGAAGGGGCAATTAAGTGTTACCCTTGTCTGTCTGTACATCTTTAAGTCCCAAAATTAGTGTCTGTTCTCTAACTTTAGTTTGCCTCAACCAAATGATATGAATCTTATACAAAATTCTTATCACCACAAAAACTCAGATCGAGTTCGAATTTGGGTAGCGTATCTTTTACCTTTCTCTAGTTTTGCCCCTTTATAAATGGAAAAATTGCTGAATTTTTCCTTTCTGTTCTCTAACTTTAATTAGCCTCAACCAAATGTTAAAGAAACTTATACACATGCTTATTACCATAAAAACACAGATCAAGTTTGAATTTGGGTGGCATCACTTTTACAGTTCTCTAGTTATGTCCATTTATAACGTTATATATGCAAGGGTGGGCATCATCTGTGTCCCATGGAAACATTCACCATTTATTTTGATAATTAGTAATTGAATATTTTAATATATTTCTTGAATACATTTTAAGTTCTTATTCTAGAAATTCTAAGTTTTGTTTTATGCAAATTTTTGATTAGATACCAAATTGTAAAACAAGCAACAAATGTAAAATATGAAACCCCGCCACACTTTATACCTGAACCAAGTCAGGTTTTCTAGACCATATCTTTGTTCTTTGTTTTTATGTCAAAGAAGTCATATGTTGGCAGTTAGTTTAGTCTGTTGCGCTGTCCAAAATTTTGTTGATTCCTGTTTTCCTTTTTGTCTCGCGTGCGACCAAAAAGGCAGAAAGCTCGAATTAATAAGCTTTCCATTAGATTGTCTTTTTCTGAATTTTGTGCTGACAGGCGAGACATATCTCTGTTTCAACAGTTTATTTTAAATTTTAATATTGCTAAATATTTACCAGTTGGCTTTTGAAAAAAATAATAATTAGGCTTCTCAAATATTATTTTTTCATTTACCGTTTTAGAGGATTAGCAGAAGTTGTAAACAGAGAGATTTCCATCATAACTACAATTGGTGATTTACACAATCAGACGTCCATAACACCTAAAGTTGCAGACAAAGACAAGGTCAAAACGATATATTTGGGTCATGTGAATGATCAGCATTACTACAGCTTAAGACCAAAAGGATGGCATAACCAGTGGTACAGAGGTAGGGCCAAAAATATATATATTATGCCAGAGATTTTGGAAGACAATATTTTAAGTTATCTTCTAATGTTACAACAAATTTCAGTATGTTTACTTATTTAAATTTAAGATAATATAATTACAAATATCTATTATGTTGGACATCACTAAAATATTCAAATTCTGATAAATGGATGCATGGCCATATATCCTTTCTTTCATATTCTGTCATCATAATACTCTTCAAACTGAAATTTGCAAAGGAAATCACAGGGGTACAAAAATGACATTAAAGGCTGTTTGTTTGTCCAGTATGAGGTAAATGTTTAAGTTAAAGGTAGGTTAAAATTTTGGTTAAGGGGTAGTTTAAGGTCACATCAACTTAAACTTGGTACACATGTTCATTATCAAGTGAACTTATTAATATACTTGTATATTACATATTGTGTAGCATTCTCCTGTTTTCATTGGATATTACGATCACGTGTTTCAATAATATTTCATGTATCTGAAGCCTTGTTTCTATTTTTAAGTATATTGACGGTCAATATTAAAAATATGTGACGTCACACATAACAATCATGGCGGAATCGCCGCAGAGTACGAAAAGAAAATTTGCAAGTAAACTGATATGAGTTCCATTTGAATTCTTATTTGTTCTAAACAGAAAAAAAAATGCTGTGTTTTTGTTTACAATAAAACAAATTAATCTTATTTATTAATATTTTCAATAGCATGTTAAAAATCTTGCAAAATAAAATTAAAAAAAAACACATAAAGAACATTGAAGTCAATTTTTACATCGCGATGACCGTGAGGGCATTCTGATGTATTGCTATCGCCTAGATTTCCATTACATAACTTTCGTTTTGGGTTTGTCACCGATCTATAAACATGATAAATACATGGATATTAACGAGTTCAAACTAACATTCCTTATCGTTTGTTATAAATACATCTCTTCAATGAATTCTGATAAAAATATTTTTGTTTAGAACATAAATTAGTAATATGAAAATGTTTTGTCGTTAGATATATATATATAAGTAAAAAAATGCTCCGCTGGCCACAGCTTGATACGACCGCAGAGGTCGAACCCTGAACAGTTGGGGCAAGTATGGACACAACAATCAAGCTTGATACAGCTCTGAATTTGGATTGTGATTAAATATTTGACACAGCATAGGTTTCTGACACAGAATGAATGTGGTCTAAGAACTTAAAAATTTTTAATTTACCTATTATGATCCAGTATCCAAAATCTAAATACATGGTTAGATTCAGCATATCAAAGAATCCAAAGAATTTAATTTTTGATGAAATCAAACAAAGTTTAATTTTGGACCCTTTTGACCTCAATGTGGACCAATTTGATAACAGGGCCCAAAAATCAAAATACATGGTTAGATTCAGCATATCAAAGAACCCCATATATTCAATTTTTGTTGAAATCAAACAAAGTTTAATTTTGGACCCCAACTTGGACCAACTAGAAAACTGGGCCCATAATAAAAAATCTAAACACATGTTTAGATTCAGCATATCAAAGAACCCCAAGAATTCAATTTTTTGTCGAGCCTGCGACTTTTGTCGCAGAAAGCTCGACATAGGGATAGCGATCCGGCGGCGGCTACGGCGGCGGCGGCGGCGGCGTTAGCTAACTTCTTAAAAGCTTTATATTTTAGAAGGTGGAAGGTCTGGATGCTTCATACTTTGTATATGGATGCCTCATGTTACGAAGTTTCCGTCAGTCACATGTCCAATGTCCTTGACCTCATTTTCATGGTTCAGTGACTACTTGAAAAAAAAGTTCAGATTTTTTGTAATGTTAGATTCTCTCTTATTATAAGTAATAAGATAACTATATTTGGTATGTGCGTACCTTGCAAGGTCCTCATGCCCGTCAGACAGTTTTCACTTGACCTCGACCTCATTTCATGGATCAGTGAACAAGGTTAAGTTTTGGTGGTCAAGTCCATATCTCAGATACTATAAGCAATAGGTCTAGTATATTCGGTGTATGGAAGGACTGTAAGGTGTACATGTCCAACTGGCAGGTGTCATCTGACCTTGACCTCATTTTCATGGTTCAGTGGTTATAGTTAAGTTTTTGTGTTTTGGTCTGTTTTTCTTATACTGTATGCCATAGGTCTACTATATTTGGTGTATGGAATGATTGTAAGGTGTACATGTCTAGCGGGCAGGTGTCATCTGACCTTGACCTTATTTTCATGGTTCAGTGGTCAAAGTTAAGTTTTTGAGTTTTGGTCTTTTTTTCTAATACTATGTGCAATAGTTCAACTATATTTGGTATGTGCGTACCTTGCAAGGTCCTCATGCCCGTCAGACAGTTTTCACTTGACCTCAACCTCATTTCATGGATCAATGAACAAGGTTAAGTTTTGGTGGTCAAGTCCATATCTCAGATACTATAAGCAATAGGTCTAGTATATTTGGTGTATGGAAGGACTGTAAGGTGTACATGTCCAACTGGCAGGTGTCATCTGACCTTGACCTCATTTTCATGGTTCAGTGGTTATAGTTAAGTTTTTGTGTTTTGGTCTGTTTTTCTTATACTATATGCAATAGTTCAACTATATTTGGTGTATGGAAATATTTTATGATCTATTTGGCAGTCACGCAGGTTTTATTTGACCTTGACCTCATTTTCAAGGTTCATTGCTCAGTGTTAAGTTTTTGTGTTTTGGTCTGTTTTTCTTAAACTATAAGCAATAGGTCAACTCTATTTGTTGTATGGAAGAATTGTTAGCTGTACATGCCTGCCTAGCATGGTTCATCTGACCTTGACCTCATTTTCATGGTTCATTGGTCAATGTTTAGTTTACTTGGTTAATGTTAAGTTTATGTGACAGTTGTAATAAAACTTTATATTTAGGACTATCAACATAATATCAATGATTAGTAAAGAAGGCGAGACATTTCAGCGTGTGCACTCTTGTGTTAAAATCAAACTAAGTTTAAATTTGGACCCTTTGAACCTTAATGTAGACCAATTTAAAAAACAGGACCCAAAATTAAAAATCTAAATACACGGTTAGATTTGGCATATCAAAGAACCCCAATAATTCAATTTTTGATGAAATCGAACAAAAAAAAAGTTTAATTTTGGACCCTTTTGACCTCAATATGAACCAATTTGATAGCGGGGCCCACAAATAAAAAATCTAAATACATGGTTAGATTCAGCATATCAAAGAACCCCATATATTCAATTTTTGTTGAAATCAAACAAAGTTTAATTTTGGACCCCAATTTGGACCAACTTGAAGACTGGGCCCAAAATTAAAAATCTAAATACAGGTTTAGATTCAGCATATCAAAGAACCCCATATATTCAATTTTTGTTAAAATCAAACTAAGTTTAATTTTTGACCCTTTGGACCTTAATGTAGACCAATTTGAAAACTGGACCCAAAATTTAAAATCTAAATACACAGTTCGATTCGGCATAACAAATAAATAAATGTGGTAAAAGATTTTACAAATCTAATGCGCCATACTGTGCACTTAAAGATTACTTCTTGAAATTTTTCAATATTTGAAATTTGAAAAAAAAATAATATTTGAAGAATAATTCTTTTTAATTCTGAAATGAGAAAAAATTGACCCCCTACAATTTCTTTTTATCCCCCCCCCCTTTTTCCCCAAAAAAATTCTTTCCCTCAAGATATGGTCATAATCATAGAATTTAAAATATGGTGTCAAATCTTTCATATGGTTTTTTTTGTAAAAAAAAAAGATGCAACATTTGCAGATATTTTTACTGGTCTTCCTTTATAAATATGCATTTCTTTAAACATAATTTAAAAGCAGTGTAAGGGAAGTAATCAAAACGTTGTATTTGGATTACCTACTGTACACTGTTTTAAATTGTCTTAATTGTTCATTAACCATTACTTTATACTTTATACATAATTTAAAAGCAGTGTAAGGGAGGTAATTCAAATAATGTATTTGATTTATCTCCCTTACACTGCTTTAAATTATGTTTTGTACTAAAGTATTTGTCCATTAACCGGGACAACCTTGTTTTTCCCCCTTTTTTGCCCCTAATTCCTAAACGGTTTGAGCCATAACCCCCCAAAGCAAATCCTAACCATCCCTTTGTGGTATGGAAACTTGTGGTATAATTTCAGAGAGATCCATACACCGTTCCACAAGTTATTGTCTGGAAACTAGAAAATGCTTATTTTTGGCCCCTAATTCCTTAACTGTTGGTACCATAACCCCCAAAAACAACCCCAACCTTCCTTTTGTTATATTTAACCTTATGGTAAAATTTCATAGAGATCCATTCACTAAAACTAAAGTTATAGTGCGAAAACCAATGTGTCTTCGGACGACGACGCCAACGTCATACCAATATATGACCCCAAATTTTTTTGCGGTCGTATAAAAATCATTGATAATTTCTATGCACACGTACCTAAAAATTGTGTTAAAGCATGCGGAAGAATATCTCAAGAACGTTTTGCAACAATCCCGGCAAGGACCGGTAACTCTGTAATTGTTTTTGCGGGAAAATATGAATGCTTACTCATATCCAATCTTTTAAAAAAATCGACTTTTTACAGAAGAGTGTCCACCATGCACTTGCACTGCACTATAATTAGAATAGTAGAGTAGAATGATATACAAATGGATGAAAATTATATATACATGTAACTGTTATATAAATATGATATATAACAACAAACCAGTGTATACTGATTTGTATCACTACAATATAATAGTTATTAAGGTGAGGTTGAATTTCATGTCATTTATTCATCATCCACTCACAAACTTGTCTCAGAAAAAAATATATCTCTGTACATTAACCTGAGTTTCAGGTATAGAGATGTGATTTTTTTCTGTGACAAGTGCTTTTGACCATCCACAAGAACTTGCGGTCATCAGATGTTCAGTACTTCAGTACTTTGATTCTAATACATTATTTACATATGTAATATATAAATTAAGGACTTTCACTCAGTCAATATGTTATATATGGACCTGTAAGATTATATTGACACTCGGACTTCGTCCTCGGTCAATATAATCTGAACAGGTCCACATATAATTACGTATTGACCTCGTCAAAAGTCCATAATTGATAAATATTTCTAACTTGGGTTTTGGCCCAGATTACCGGTACACGGTTCACTGAACATGAACATATAATAGATTTTAAAAGTTTTGGTATAAGGTAGTTTGTGAAACTTGGTACATGTTCCTTATGGGAGCAATTAACATTTTCAATTATTTGGGGGATTAATTCATTTTACAGTTGTGCACAATACTCTTATTAATTTGTGCATATTCATTTTACATTTTACAAAGGTTAAAATATAGATAATTCTTTATAAATTTATAAAAAAAATAATAATGTTGTATATTGAAAAAAATTTGTTCAATATTGTTCATATTGAGGTAATAAATTCCAATAATTTGAACAATTATATATAAAATGATCCATAGAAATCCTGTAATTTCTACCTTTGCACAATACAACAGACTGATTATCCTGCTCTAAACCCTCCTTCAAAACAAACAAGGATAAAGGGGAAAAAAATATGTTTTTATATTAAATCCCAGTCTGTCAATAAAGTATATTTTTGTTTAAAATAAAATCGAGATCAGTGTTTTTATGTTAGTGTTGGCATAACATATCCCAACTTATGGCAACAAAACAATAATAAGATATTGTGTTCTAAAGACAAACTTTTGATTTGTTTTTCTTCATTTTGGTCATTTAAAAGAAAAAAAAATTGGAAATTACTTTTTTTTTTTTAAATCTGACCAAGCAATCCTACTCAAATCAATGCCAGTAGCCTGATAAAACTAATGAAACTAAATAATGCTAAATCGATAACCAGTATAAGTTTACATAGATCTTATGTTACTTTGCATGCTCTTTGAGAAACATCACTGTAAAAATCAGGATATAGAAGGTTTTCTTCAGGTACAGCCAAACTTTCAATATCTTTATAGCTATGAAAGCATTGAAAAAAAAATGTTTAACTATTTTGTGGTTACAAAATCCCTGACTTGATGATTTAGCAGTTATACAGATATTATGTTCATTGAAATCTAAAACATCACTACAGACACAGGGCAAGGTAAACGAGTTGGGGAAAGATACTCACAGTAAGAAGCAGTCAATGAAAAATCAATGTCTCAAAACTTAAAATTAACACCAGCCTGTATGAAATATTCCGCCTAGAACAACCACCAATTCAACATTAACACTACAAGGCTACCTTCCTAGCCCCCATGAAACAATCGTTTTGGTTTCAGCATGGAGCAAAATTTTAATTTTTAGCTGAGAAGATTCCCCAAGGACAAATTAGTTATGAATATCAAGTAATAAAAGTTTTATTTCACTTATGAATTATGTTTCAATCAAACTTGGATATATACTGCTGGCAAGCTATACATTATGTTAAAAATTTGTTGATATGAGCACTAAATGCTTAATTTCACATATCCTGAGTTCATTGGGGAATTCTTAAAGTTAACAGGAATAATTAAAATATTATCAAATTGCTATGAACTAATTATTTGTGACTTTGAGGATTTTGTTTATTAACACATATCTCAGTTTTAGTTGGATATGAGGGACATACAAAAGCTGGTTTAAGGTCAGGTCAAATGTTGGATATTGAAGGCAGATACTTATATACAAAGCTGGTTAAATAAGGTCAGGTCAAATGTTGGATATGAGGGCAGAGACTTACATACAAAGCTGGTTAAATAAGGTCAGGTCAAATGTTATTCATGATGTACCTGTTTCTCTGGATGATGATAGTCAGGTGTCAGATACAATTCATTATACTTAGCATACTTACACACTTAAACAGGATAAAACAGTTTACATAACAGACAATAAAATATAGCACACTATGACAACACAGATAAAAGTACTAAAGGATAAAATCAGCAAATATGGAAAAATGACAATTAAACATATTCAGGACTCTATCAGAGAATTTTATATGAATAGGAATTATGTTAGAATTCCTACTAGGAAAGTGTTCATATTCTAGCCAGAATGTAGTAGGAATCCGCCTGGAAAATAGCCAAAAAATTTAAATTAGCAGGAATTTTTAGTAGGAATATTGTGATTCCTACCTGGAATTTTCAAATTAGCAGGAACAACTTGGCAGGAAAATAACATTCCTACCAGAAAACCTGGTAGGAATTTTTCATAATTCCTACTAGAAAAGGTTATTTTCTAGGAGGAATCTAAAAATAAACAAATACTTAAGTGCATACACAAATACACAACTGGGTCAATCCTAAGTTTGAATCTCAACAACTAAGAACAAAGGAAATACATGAAATAATTAACTTCTTAGTGCAACATTTGACTGTTAAATTTGATGGAGAAGCTGCAACAAAATTACTTGTTATAAATGTAGATCTGCAAACATGTTGCCTAGATGAACTTCTACATTCAAAATATGATTGAACTTTGAATTACTGTATATGTACTAATTTTCGTGGTGTATTTATTTTCACGAATTTCGCGGTAGGTATATTTTCGCGAAAATAAATACATGCGAATTCGAATGCAGATTTCATGCATATAAAAACCATTGACTAAATATCGTTGGAATTTACAACTGTATATGCATGTTCACCTTGTTGGCTTCAGAAAACCTCAATTGAACCGTGAAACTTTAAAAACAACACCAGTTATTTTTACAGAAATTTAATTAAGAATAAAAGGACAAAAGTTGAAAAAAAAGTATCCCAAGCTAAATATGACAGCTATATTAAGTAATTAACGACTTAATCAAGTTATTGAACATTTATCAAAACACAGGACTGATTTTATGATTGAATAGTATCTTTGTTTATTTTGTTTCTATTGTTAAATAAATGAAGACCTAATTAATGAGAATTTTATGAATTTTAAGTCTGTAGTTTATGTTCTGGTATTTTTTTAAATACCGCGAAATTAAATACACGCGAATTCGTCGACAACAACAAAATCGTGAAAATAAGTACTCGTGAAAAAAAGTACATATACAGTAATTACTAATTAAATCAGGCAAGTTTAGAAAAAAAATCAACTTTAAATGTATACTAATTACATGTACCTTCAGTCTACATGATTTCTGCTTACATTTCAATATTTCCCAACAATCTTTAGCCTACCAAATTTTGAATGTGACCTGAAACTTCGTTGCTTATATTACAGCAAAATAAATGTTAATATCAAACTGGAATCCAGTTTAAGATAATTTATTCAAATCAATACCAGTTCAGATAATAATGCTACTACAATTAGAAATATTCCTGGTAGAAAATTTTTCTGGTAGGAATAAATTAATACTGTTCACCCTAAAAGCAGGAATTTGTAGTAGGAAAATGAAAAATCTAACTGTAAAAACTTAAAATTTTCCTAGTACGCCTAAGAAGTAGCAAGAACCTTAGATTCCACGATCATTCTAGGCAGATTCCTACTATCATCTAGTAGGAATCCTACTACATATTTCGTACGTGAGGCAAAAAAATATCACTTATTTATCTAATGAGTTCCCTGTGTCAAACTGAAATATCCAAATCGAGTATACTAGATTGATTTATGTCAGATCTCAGGGATAGATTTAGACAGATTCAGATTCAGATTCAGATTCAATATTTTATTAAAGCCTCACCTCTTGTAATACATATAATTCATTGTATAAAACAGTAATTTCATAAGTTACAATACAAGTGCTATTCTATTAAGAATAATGAGATACTATAGAAATTCCAATAGATTATAACTATATATTTATCATGTCTATGAAACATATCTGTTCTGAAAAACATATAACTACCTTTCTCTAATTCTTCGTCAATTTATCCCTTTCTGCACCCATTGTATAAAAAAATTTAATCAACGTGTGGTTCGTTTGATCTCAGTTCTTCATTGGTTAAAATCCCATTATGACGTCGAGAAACAGATTCCACCACCAAATCTTGTGTAATACGATATTTATCCACTCTCGACAGTTAAATTTTAAATATTAAAAACGCTCGGTTAGCCTCGCGTTTTAAATTTGAAAATTTAACTGTCTCGAGTAGATAAATATCGTATCACACTCGATGCAGTGGTAGAATCTATATTTATCATGTCTATAAAATATTTCAGTTCTGTAAAAACATAACTATCAATCAAGCATATAAAAAACTATTACTTCTACTTAGATATTAAAGCAGGTCTTGGTGACCACATTATAACAATCAGTACTTTTAAAAAGACATATAAACTTATCATCAGATAAAATATTAAAATCACAATTACTTCTTTTAACTTCGTAAAATAAACTTTCAAGCAAATCTGCATATAAAAGACAGTCTAATTAGAACATGTTTCTCATCTTCAATTTTATCATTACATAAAAAGCAGACTCTTTCATTTACAGTTTTGTTTTCATAGCGACCTGTTTCTATTTGCAAAGGGGCGACGCCACACCTAAATTTAGCAAATGCACTTCTGAAATGTTCTTCCTCAAATACATCTCTGTTTCAATAATATCTTTATTAAGTCCGTAATTTTTTTCCAACATTTTGTGACATATATTCTATTATGCCAATTTACCTTATAATTTTCAAATAAAAAATCTTCTAACTGTGTTATAACATTTTTATGCAAGATATTATCTAAATTAGTGTATAAAAATAAATTACATTCTCTAAATTTTGTCATAATTCTGTTACACAAGTTTTTCTTTTTATTAATAGGATTTCTAAAAGCCATCGAAATACTTTTATAATTCACTCTATCTGTTGACATAGCATTACATTTAGCCCAAAGACATTATACTGTATAATTACTATGTACTTCATACCTGTAATTATGTATTGATTTGTAATTATTAACAGATGCGAGAAGGAAGCAATTATCAGATTCTAGTCAGTCCCATAGCAATGCTTTAGAAGAACAGAGTATTTCTTTGGAAGAGTCGTCTTCAGAAGAAGAGTTGACATTGCCATGCAGACCAAGTAAACTAATAAGTATGTCATTATTTGTCAGATCACAGTAAATTTTATATCTTCAGTCTAAAATACTTTGCACAAATTTGTAACTGTTTTTAAAGCTACATTTTTTTAAATCAAACACACCCAGGTACTACCCATTTTCACTTGAATCTCCACCTTTACAAAAGACTTTACCATTTTAAAAATACATTGCACCCTCAGCCAGGTTTTAACCAAGTGCTATTGTGGTGCTAAGCAAGGACATATTTACATCAAGGGAGAAATGTATATGAAAACTACATTCATTTTTGAAAGTGGACTTCAGTAGTAAGTGGCAGCAGTAGGTGAGAGACGGCCATTTTAGATCCAGAGGAGCTATTATAACAAGGAGCAATAGTTATATACTTCAGTTGCAAATTGCATTGTAATCATGGACGAACAGTTGAAATGGGATGCTCAGCGGTTTTAAAAAGTGCATTTAGAAATATATCTTGTATCAGTTCAAAAGAAGCTTCACTTGAAGACAAACAAATATGATATACAGCAACAAATGACAACCACTGAATGATAGGCTCCTGACTTGGGACAAACACTTACAGAATATGGCAGGGTTAAACATTTTTGCAGGCTCCAAACCCCCCTTCTAACCTGGGACAGTTGTGTAACAACATAACATAAGAACAAACTGTAGAATTCAGTTAAAAAGGTCTTAACTCATCAGATCAATACAAAGCACAATATCGACAGACAAAAACACTGAAGACACAGATCCGACTGTACTAGTTACTGAAAGTTAATTCAAAGCCAATAACAACTACTAAAAAAATCATATTTCTAAGACTAAAATATCAATAAGCATTATATTTTTACTGTCTTTTCCAGATTGCAGCTCTCAGTACATCGATACATACAGTCGTGTTCCAATTTTTCATATGAATTTCATTATAGAGAATGTGCTACCAAAGATTAATATTTACACACCATATAGATTTTATGGGGGAAAAACTTGTATAGTACCAATTAGTTGTCAGAAAAAATGGGAAATAGCAGGTAGTTGTGAAGAAGGACTTTCTGTGAATGTATATACATCAAGTCTTCAGAATGAACGTGGAATGGGGAATGAAAGCTTAAATGCAGTAAAAGTATCTAATCTTCCAAATCTATTTAAACAAATTGGAAAGCCGAATTTGGTATTCAAAGATGACTCTTATAAATCGAAGAGTAAAGTTGCTATTATAGACTCTGAAAATACTAGTCCTGGATTTACTCATGTTAGATCACCAAAACACAATCCACAGATTTTCTACAAGGAAGTAAACGGAACATACTTCTTATCAAATACATCCTTTCATTCTGGAATGAATGCAAATGGAACATTGAAAATCAAAAGAACCATACGCTTCAAAGACCCATTTCTTATTTTTCAGAAAGAGGCTTGCATGATTTATTATTATGCTAAATGTCCCAAATGGCCAAAAGAAGCAAGTGAGTGGGTTTTAAGGAAAAGGCCCAGCGGTTGGCCAGACACATCTTTGCTTGAGGAGACCCTGAAAGCTCCTTGTCTTCTCACGCCAAAATACCATCCGTTCAGTAAAAACCCTGATATTGAATGGATGTTTGATTTCTCATTCCCTGAAACATTTCTTCTCAAAGGTAACATATCAAAAGAACAGAAATACTGCTTTCATGTGTTCAAACTTTTAATAGACTTTCATACAGGTCGAAGAATAGAGTTATCTACCTTTGTTCTCAAAACCATCTTCCTATACACATTAGAAGTTATACCTTGCCAGCAATGGGAGACTTGTCCGTCAGCATGCATGCTTTATATGACAGAAACCTTACTGTCAAGTTTGAAGGAAAAGAAAATTCCCCATTACTTCATTCCTGAAAACAACATTATTTCACATTTAAATGGTACAATTCTTTATCATTTGATAGAAAAAGTAAATGTTGTGCGTGAATTTCCCATCATGTCAGTTATTCTGATGGCAGAGGGTCATGGTTTAATGACCACATATATCACCGATCAAATTATTGAAGATTTAAATCACCTCTCGGATTTAAGCAATATTCATGATTCAGTTCTAAATACATTCATTCCTGCTTATGCTCAAATAACAGTCACCTCTCTTGCCCATCAAAAATTCCGCCAAGCAGTTACTGCAGTTACCACTGGATATAGAATGTTGCAAGACCTTCCACGATGTAGTGATGATGTTTATAATCCCTATGAAAATATGTCATTAGAAATGTTCATCAAGGAAACTACCGATGGGATGAAAATGTTTCAGGTTTGGTGGCTGTGTTTCTTTGTGGATCTCTTTAAGAAGAAAAATACTTTGGCATCATTTACAAGAACCAATCCTTTCAAAAAAATCAGTGATCTCATGGATGATTGTCCTCCAGGTGACCTTGATGCTGTATCTGTCCCAAAATGGATTTTACAAAGTTATCGTTATGAATACGATTACAAGCAATTGCGAGATTTTGGATTTGTTTTAATACTGTGTACATATTTAATGCAAGAAGGGGAATATGGTCTGGCAGGACATTATTTGAGGGGACTTGTCAAAATGATTTCTAAAATTTTTAATGATCCTGATGCAATAATGGCAGAAGTATTACAGAATCCAATGGTTGCACAGTCAAAGGAGAAAAACATTGATTATCTTATGCAAGCTTTTATAACTGGGATGTCATCAAGTTTATTCTTAATTTTACAAAATCTGTTCACATGTTATGTGAAACAAGGACAGACAGAATATTTTCAAGAGTATATTGAACAATTTGAATCCGTCTGTAATAACATGGCCACACCCTCTTCATTTACTGTTCTTGCTGATATCTGGAGATCATTAGGAAATACAAAGAAGATGAAGGAGGCTTTAGAACAATTTGAAACCATAAAAACTTAAGAACAGCAAGTGTATTATATTACATGCACAAAAAATGTGAGAGAAAAAAATCTGCAATTAAATCTTTTTTATGAGAGGAAAACCATAAATTAAATTAAGCATCATTTTCATCTTTTTTTGACTAGATATTTAGAAAAAAAAGTTTTAATGAAATCAAGTGCAGAATTTAAGAAATTATTAAACTTCAAAATAATTTTCAAATCACAATTCCAAGGTAATCAGTATCATCATGAAAAGGTTTCAGACTACCTATTCACCTACTTCAATTTAGAACATATGTAAAAGATGCCCTTCCCTGACAAAAAAGTGCTTTTGATGTCATTATTTACTTAAACTAACTAACAAATTTGCAGAAATGAAACTTTTGATTAGAAAGAGAAATATATGTAGACCATTTTGATACAAATTTATTTGTCCATGATTTTGCATTAAAAATTGAGGATTAAGGCACTCCATATTATACTTGTATAAGATTTCCAGAAAACCAGGGGTTATTTGTAGTTGCAGTTGAGTTCTGAAGGGTGGTATTTCATTGCAAGACTTTAAACAATTTGGTTGAAAATTGGCATATAGAAAGGTGATACATGTAAAATTCAGATTATACCTGGTTTCTATGAAGTTAAACTTAAGGTGAAATATTTAGAAAGCTGTGAAAATTGAAAAATTTGATTGATTATATAGGGGATTTGAAATGGTGGTCTGACACCAAATGATCACACTTATCAATATATAAGAACTTTGGAAATTACCATTATATATACAGTATGCACTAAGAAGAATGATCAAGTCTACAGCTGTGAATTCAGAAATTTTGTTTTTATTATTGCAAAAAATTTCAACTGGATAGGTTTCATATAACTAAAAAATTGCATTTTTAATTTTGATAACTATTTGTATGAAACATTTCCTATAATTGTAGTAATTATTATTGTAATATAGGTACAAAATTTAATTGCATGAATATTATCCATAGTAGATATTCATTATTATTGCGCTAGCTTACAAGTGCAATACATATTGTTTGAGGGATAATATTCACCAATATTCATCCAATAAACCTTTTATTGTACAAATGTATTGCAAAGCTTGAAAAACTGTTTAAAACAATTTTAGTGTCATAAATGACATTACATTGTCGTGCTGTTTAAAAGGTTTTATTTATCTATTATACTTTCACTAAAATGTGAAAAAGGGGTAAAAAAAATCATTCAAGGGCAATAACTTAATTCTTCGTTGTTTGACAATTTTTGTTATGTTGAATTATTTGTAGATCTTGTGTTGCTGGTCATATCTTAACTTTAAAATTTGACTCTATCTATCATAGTTTTCAAGATAATTGGCAACAACAAACATTAGTAAAAACCAGCACTAAATAAGGCAAACGACTCCTAGCTAGAAGTCTGACAATTTTTGTTGAAATAGACAGTAATATGTAAATCTTGATATTTTGAACATTTTTGCCCTGTCAGTTTTTCTCTTTATATAATGGTTTCCAAAATAAAGGACAATATTTGCATTTTACTCCAATGTTCTATTTTTTGGGTGGCCAGCAGATTCATCAGACATATTTTAAACTAGATACCCAAAGGATTAGTGTGGCCAAGTTTGGTTAAAAAAAATTTTTTGTTTTGTTTAAGTTAATGAACGATGACGACGACAGACGAGTGACACAAAGAGATGGCAAAAGACATCTCATCAGTGACATTAACAATAAAAGCATGTAACAGTGACGCTTGAAAATTAAATTTTACATAGGGAGCTTATTCTATTTCTAGTACCGGTAGTTTTTTTGGTCGGCCACGATCCATATCTAACCTAGTGCCTCATGACATAGTTTTTTATACGACCGCAAAATTTTTGCGTTCGTATAAAATTATGATGTTGTCATCATCGTCGTCATCTGAAGACATTTGGTTTCCAGACAATAACTTGAGATTAAGTGTATGTATCTCTCTGAAATTGTAACACAAGGTGCCATACCACAAAAGTAAGGTTGGGATTGATTTTGGGGGTTATTGTGGTAAATGTTTAGAAATTAGGGGCCAAAAACAATCAATTTTCTTATTTCAGGACAATAACTTGTGTAACAGTCTATGGATCTCTATGAAATTGTGCCACAAGGTTCCATACCCAAGAAGGAAGGTTGGGATTGATTTTGGGGGTTATGGCCCTAATTATTTAGGAAAAAAGAACCAAAAACAATACTTTTCTGATACTTTGTATAAATTGCTTATTTCTTGACCAATTTCAATGTTTAATTCAAAGTCATGAAATCTTGGGGTTTTTAGATATGCTGAATGTAACCGTGTATTTAGATTTTGGTCCCCATTTTTAAATTGGTCCACATTGAGGTCCAAAGGGTCCAAAATTTAACTTCGCTTGATTTAAGAAAAAAATAGAATTCATGGGTTCTCTGATATACTGATTTAGATTTTTGATTTTGGGACCGGTTTTCAAATTGGTCCACATTAAGGTCCAAAGGATTCAAGATTAAACTTAGTTTGATTTTAACTGAAATAGAATTCAATGGGTTCTTTGATATGCTGAATCTAAACATGTACTTAGATTTTTGATTTTTGGGCCCAGTTTTCAAGTTGGTCAAATCTAGGTCCATAATTAAACTAATTTTGATTTTAACAAAAATTAAATATGGGGTTCTTTAATGTGCTGAATCTAACCGTGTATTAAGAATTTGGATTTTGGGCCCCTTTATCAAATTGGTCCACATTGAGGTCCAAAGGGCCCAAAATTTTTCGAAGGAATTATCGGTTATTAAAATGGTGATGTAAGGCGGGCGTCTAGGCGGATCTACGGGCGGCTGCCAAACAGTGTCAGCACAATAACATGAAAATGCTTTAACAAATTTTTTTCAAATTTAAATATGTTGTTTCCTGGGACTTAATGAAAGTCTAGTTCAATTTTCAAGATTTTAGTATATCTCCTTTGTGAGTTATCGCCATTTTTAATATCCAAAAGTAGAATTTTTAAATATTTTACTCTTGTTATCATGTTATGATTTGTCTTATCTCAGAATAAAAATTGGAGTGACAGATTTATTTGAAAATTATCTATTTCCTAAGTGGTAATGATTATAAGCTATATCATTAGACATTTTGAAGATTATTACATTATTAGTTATGTTAGAGTACTACGTTAAACAACCATAGTTCTGTTCAATTAGATATTAGAAATATTTTAGCATATGATAATGATTTATTTTCATTATTAATTAGATCTGGGAAATATCTTAGCATATGATAATCATTGGAGTGACAGATTTATTTGAAAATTTTCTGTTTCCTGATAAGATCTGTAGGACTGTATATATAAAGTTTGAAATTTACTAGAAGGACTGTATAAATGAAGTTTGGAATTTACTGTTCATTATTAGACATTTTGTAGATAATTAAGTCTCCCTAAATCATGTATATTCTTACCCCCACCCCCCTTCAATTTGAGAATGTGCTTTTATCTTGTAAACGGTCGAGATCATCACCCCTACACCATATATATTCTTGCATGGGACAATAAAACAAATCAAATGAAATAAAAGGCGAGTCCCCTGGGGTCACCCTCAACCCCTTCTGTATGAGAACTTGTAAACGGTCGAGATCCCCACCCCTAAACCATATATATTCTTGTATGGGACAATAAAACAAATCAAATGATATATAGGGGAAGTCCAGAGAGGTCACCCCCACCCCCCTTCTTTTTGCAAACTTGTAAACGGTCAAGATCGCCACCCCGAAACCATATATATTCTTGTATGGGACAATGAAACAAATCAAATGAAATAAAAGGTGAGTCTCCTGAGGTCAACCCCACCCCTTCCTGTTTAAGAACTCCTAAACGGTCGAGATCCCCACCCCTAAACCATATATATTCTTGTATGGGAAATAAAACAAATCAAATGAAATATAGGGGAAGTCCATGAGGGAACCCCAACCCCCCTTCTTTTTGATAACTTGTTAACGGTCAAGATCCCCACCCCAAAACCATATATATTCTTGTATGGGACAATAAAACAAATCAAATGAAATTTAGGGGAAGTCCATGAGGGTAACTCCCACCCCCCTTCTTTTTGAAAACTTGTTAACGGTCAAGATCCCCACCCTGAAACCATATATATTCTTGTATGGGACAATAAAACAAATCAAATGAAATATAGAGGGAGTCCCTTGGTGTCACCCCGCCCCATCCTGTTTTGAGAACTTGTAAACGGTTGAGATCCCCATCCCTAAACCATATATATTCTTGTATGGGACAATAAAAAAAGTCAAATGAAATATAGGGGAAGTCCCTGGGTGTCACCCCTACCCCATCCTGTTTTGAGAACTTGTAAATGGTCAAGATCCCTACCCCGAAACCATATATATTTTTTGTACGGGACAATAAAACAAATCAAATGAAATAAAAGGCGAGTCCCCTGGGGTCACTCCCACCCCCTTCCTGTTTAAGAACTTGTAAACAGTCGAGATCCCCACCCATAAACCATATATATTCTTGTATAGGACAATAAAACAAATCAAATGAAATATAGAGGAAGTCCACAGGGGTCACCCCACCCCCCTTCATTTTGAAAACTTGTAAACGGTCATGATCCCCACCCCTAAACCATATATATTCTTGTATGGGACAATAAAACAAATCAAATTAAATATAGGAGGAGTCCCTGGGTGTCACCCCCACCCCATCCTGTTTTGAGATCTTGTAAACTGTCAAGATCCCCACCCCGAAACCATATATATTCTTGTAAGGGACAATAAAACAAATCAAATGAAATAAAAGGCGAGTCCCCTGGGGTCACTCCCACCCCTTCCTGTTTAAGAACTTGTAAACGGTCGAGATCACCACCCATAAACCATATATTCTTGTATGGGACAATAAAACAAATCAAATGAAATATAGAGAAATTCCACAGGGGTCACCCCACCCCCCTTCTTTTGGAAAACTTGTAAACGGTCGGGATCCCCACCCCTAAACCATACATATTCTTGTATGGGACAATAAAACAAATCAAATGAAATATAGGGGGAGTCCCTTGGTGTCACCCTAACCCCATCCTGTTTTGAGAACTTTTAGACGGTCAAGATCCCCACCCCGAAACCATATATATTCTTGTACAGGACAATAAAACAAATCAAATGAAATAAAAGGTGAATCCCCTGGGGTCACTCCCACCCCCTTCCTGGGAATGACTAATTATGGGAGCCTTGTTTGGGGGACTTCGTAACAGAATCATGTTATAATTATTTCTTGTATTAAGTAATTTTTTTTTAAAGTCGGAAAAAAAGTTAAACACCCAATCTACACATTTACAACCTATTTGAAATATTACACATCTACCGTTGCAAACTTTCCACAGGTGCTTTCCAGCACTTTGATTTTTTATGAAGTGAACTCCTTTAAAAATTAAGCTTATACATGTATTGTTTATTAATAAACATATATTTAGATTTCTGATTTTGGGCCCAGTTTTCAAGTTGGTCCAAATCGGGGTCCAAAATTAAACTGTGTTTGATTTCAACATAAATTGAATAAATATAGGGTTCTTTGAAATGCTTACTCTAAACCTGTATTTCTTTTCATTATTAATAAGATAATACCACATTGAGGTCCAAAGGGTCCTAAATTAAACTTTTGTTTAATTTTATCAAAAATTGAATTCTTTGGTTCTTTGATATACTGATTCTTACAATGTTTGAGTGTTATTCAATCATATCTTATTTTAGAGAACTTAGTCATCACTGGTTGTTGTTATTATATTATTGATTATAATTTGAAAATTGCATCATATCTTATTTTAGAAAAAATTTATTCAGTTTGAGTTATTTCCCTTTGCACAGAAAATATTATGGATAAAATTAACCTGTGTTTCATTTCAACATAATTTAAATATATATAGGGTTCTTTCAAATGCTGAATCTAAACCTGTATTTAAATATTAGATTTTTGGGCCCAGCTTTCAAGTTGGTCCAAATCAGGGTCCAAAATTAAACTTTGTTTGAGTCAACGAAAATTGAATTTATGGGGTTCTTTGAAATGCTGAATCTAACTATGTATTAAGAGATTTTTCATTGTAGACTCCTTTATCAAATTGGTCCACATTGAGGTCCAAAGAGTCCTAAATTAAACTTTTGTCTGATTTCATCAAAAATTGAATTCTTGGGTTTCTTTGATATGCTGATTCTAATATGTACTTAGATTTTGGATATTGGACCATAATAGGTAAATGTCGAATTTCAAATATTTCAGTTCTTTGACCACATTCATTTTGTGTCACAAACCTATGCTGTGTCAAATATTCAATCACAATCCAAATTCAGAGCTGTTTTAAGCTTAAATGTAGTGTCCATACTTGCTCAACTGTTCAGGGTTCGACCTCTGCAGGAAAATCCGGTTTGCTGTCACTCTGACAGCCTCTTGTTGTTTGATTTTATCAAAAATTGAATTCTTGGGGTTCTTTGATATGCTGATTCTAACCATGTAGTTAGATTTTGGATATTGGACCATAATAGGTAAATGTCCAATTTCAATTATTTAAGTTCTTAATTAGATATAAGAAGATGTGGTAAGACTACAATCATTCTGTGTCAGAAACTATGCTATGTCAAATATTTAGTTTAAACAATATTTATTCAAATAAATCAATACATAATATATAATTCTGATACATGAAATAAATAAAAAGGATGTCAAATATTTAATCAGAATCCAAATTCAGAGCTGTATTGCACAATTAATAGAAATTGTAAGTATAGTCATAGTTAAATAGTAATAGTAAGTTTTATAGAGTTTTTAAAGACATTGTATAAATGATGTATGATATGTTGGAAATTGTTTTCCTTTTTTTTGTAAATTTTTTGAAGAACTTCCTGGTAGGTTTGTTTGTTATTCTGTATAAATTAATTTTCAGAATGCTATGTATATATATATACAAGTCTAAATTGAAAACAATGTTCAAACCTATGATTGCGTTGGATAAAAACTGCAATTTTTATATGTGTGCATGCAAAACAAATGTCTTGGTAGAGGGGTCTAAATACAGCACAAACAACATTTTCCAAAAGACCAAAAAAGTGAAAAAGTATATTTTAATAAAACGCATTTGACTAGCAAGCCGAACAACGGATGTTCTTAAACCCTGCTGACTGCCATTGGCGATTGCCAAATAAACGGATCACTAGATGTAACAAAATGGATCTTACTTATTAATTTAAAACAGAAAACAATAAACTTGTGGAAAAGATGGAATATATGCCTAAGAATGTAACTTTAACACACTAATGAGTGTTATAAAATTAGTTGTTATATTTTGTATTATTCACGCAATATTTCACTAAACAAATTAGCTTCATCAGGCGCGTGCAGCCAACCAGGTAAAAGTTAGAGGCTGTAAAGAAATTTTTGCAGCTCAATGTTAAATGTCTAGAAAAATATTTTTGCGGCTTATTGTACATAGCAATTCTTAAATCAAAACAAATAGTTGTTTTAGTTAAATAGAACGAAGTTCAGGATTTATTCCTTTGGTTTTGGGTAGAACTGTTTTTCATCTCTCTCATTAAGTCCATCAGGTTCAAGAGTACGTAGCTGATGCATCCAGAACCTTTCTCTCTGTTTTCTCCTTTGGGAGTCCCAATTTTGTATTTATATATATATACTTTTTTTTTTAATGAGGTGAACCCCTTTAAAACTTAACTAATATTGTCCATTTATAAATGAATATCGGGTAATAGAAAAGCTGACTTTGCGGGATTTCCATATGTTTTCCCTGAGCATTACTATAACCTGAGACTACTATAACACAGTAGTCTCAGCTATAACAAGTGTGTTTATCAACCTAGAAAATAAAAATTTGAAGTTTTGAAGCCTTACGTAATAGCTGGTTAACTTTATAAACATTATTTTATAAATTATGAATTTAAAATCAAGTCTTTAGAATGCGAAAACAAACAAAATAGAGTAATTCCCAAATTCAGTTAGACAAGCTTATTAATAAGCTTATAGTTTGTTCACCGTTTCAAGCGTTTAAAAGACGAAGATTTGAGTCCTTTCCCGCGGGGTTTTCCACTTTCACTTTCGATTCGACTGGGTATCATTCAACAATTTCTTACTGGATGATTGTGGACATATTTTTGAAATGGCAGGAGTTCTTTAATCAGTGTGTACATATGTTTATGTACAAAGATTTCATACACGTCATTTTCAGTTGAACTCAAAGGTAAATGGCATATATTTTTAAAGAGCGAAAACAAGGAAGAAATTTGACGTGTTCCTGTTTTAGAATGGTCAACCCAAAATAAAAAAGTGGTAAAAATAAATTCATACAGGAGGCATTGATAAAACTTAAGAAAAAAGGAAAATTCCATATTACACCCAAATGTAAAGGTGTCATTGAGATTTTTGTAACTTATGACTTTTTTGTAAGGTGGGGTGTGACATAAGGAATTTTTTTCTAAAGAAAAAAGAATTCAAACTGACTAGGCCACCCTTAACAAATGTTTTGTTTGATCTTGCCTTCTCATGCCTTGTAGGATGGTATCGGGTCGGTTCGCCCTAATAAAATGTTCACCCATAGAGTCAATTTTCCCTGGGTTTTGTTTGCCCAAAAACATAATAAATATTTGTGACGAATAAGTGTAGTATGGTACTTGAACTAAAGTGTGTATTCTTGTGGTTGTGTTGTGTTGTTGGGTGTCTAAGTTTCACTCGTACACGGACGACAAATGCCAAGTATACTCTTTAACAGGGTTACCCTTGAAATCTACTGGTAGCGTGATTAAGGGAATCCTGGTCACATAAATAAATAAATGGATCCTGGTGTAGTCTGAACGAAGTCTTGCAAGTGAACATAAACACGAAGTCGAATAAAAGTTCAATACTGTATTATTAAAATCATAAGACTATAACAAAGTTACAAGTATAACACAATGTACATCTAACTTCAGGCTCAACAATACGGCTCTCCTCTACTAAATAAACACAACTGTCCTCTCCTCACTATAAATTCTCTCTCCCCCCTATCTCACGCTTTTTCTTTCTTTTATATGACTCCTACAAGCACATATACAAATATAGACTACTAGGGCAACCGAGCTCAGTGTAATCTGTGCTCCGGAAATCCGGGTGATCAGGTAATCCGGGTACTCCGGTGATCCGGACTCCTAGTGTTCCGTGCTCCTTACATAAATTTACTAGGGCACCATATGCAAATCATTAGGGCTCACTAGTCAAACAAAGAAATCTAAATATAACTCCTAATTAATATAATCTCTGATGATCTCTAACTGTATCAAATGGCTATGTGTGAAAATACAGATGTATGTAAACCTGATACAATCAGATAACACGCTTGACCTAACATATAAAAATGTTACATATTTATGGTATTGATTAAAGCTTGATAAACTCATTCAGATATTTATAAAGTAAAATATAAACTCATTCAGATATTTATAAAGTAAATATTAAAGAAAATATATATTTCTCAAAGTCATGAAAAAACCATGGAAATATTTAAAAGGCACTGGCTAAGATTATGTTGAAAATGTAATGTTCAATAACAGAAAAGTTATTGTCATGTTGGATACTACTGTGGATTCATTTATTTTTGTGGGTATCAATTTTCGTGGATTGCTGAAAACTTGCATATTCGTGGATATTTGATTTTGTAGTTTTTTCCAATCTCTGTATTCAAAGCCTATTCAAAATATGTTATTCATTGAACATTTGAATTCGTGGTTCCCCTGTACCCACGAAACCCACGAAAATTAGTATCCAACGAATATTAATGAATCCACAGTAATTGTCGGAATACTAGGTTGGGTTAGGAACCGATTAATTACGAATGTAACAATAATATTTGTGGTACGTTTACATTGTTATTGTTACGTGAATCATGATGCATTTCAATATATGCTGGGAAAAGTAATATATATAGTAATTGTCCCATATGTATGTAATATATTAAAATACAACTTGAAAAACTTTTATTTGGTAACAATCCAATGATACAATATTGCATACAGATTATATAAGCAACTACTGCCCATCCAGTATGTGCTTTTTGGTGCATGTTTTAGTCCGACACATTTTTGGTGGAACCACTCTAGGCAGCCATCACGAACAAGGGATGCTGCAATGTGCACGTCGGTTTTGAAGACAAAACAGTTCCACGTCTGCAATTACCATTTTTATACGGCCGCAAAAAATTTTGCGGTCGTATATTGGTATGACGTTGTCGTCGTCGTCGTCCGAAGACACATTGGTTTTCGCACTCTTACTTTTGTTTAAGTGAATGGATCTCTATGAAATTTTACCATAAGGTTCAATGCCACAAAAAGAAGATTGGGATTGATTTTGGGGGTTATGGTACCATCATGCAGTTAAGGAATTAGGGGCCAAAAATAAGCATTTTTGTAACTTCCAGACATAACTTGTGTGTTAGTGTATGGATCTCTCTGACATTGTACCACAAGGTTCCATATCACAAAGGGAATGCTGGGATTGATTTTGGGGGTAATTGCCTCAAAATTTTAGGAATTAGGGGCCAAAAAACAAGCATTTTTCTAGTTTCATGACAATAACTTGTGTGTAAGTGTATGGATCTTTCTGAAATTGTACTACAAGGTTCCATATCACAAAGGGAAAGCTGGAATTGAGTTTGGGGGTAATTACCCAAAACGTTTAGGAATAAGGGGCCAAAAAGGGGCCAAAAATAAGCTTTTTTCTAGTTTCCAGACATAACTTGTGTTCAAGTGTATGGATCTCTCTGAAATTGTACTGCAAGTTACCATACCACAAAGGTAAGGCTGGGATGGATTTTGGGGGTAATTGCCTCAATATTTTAGGAATTAGGGGCCAAAAAGGGGCAAAAAACAAGCATTTTTCTAGTTTCAGGACAATAACTTGTGTGTAAGTGTATGGATCTTTATAAAATTGTACTACAAGGTTTCATATCACAAAGGGAAAGCTGGGTTTGAGTTTGGGGGTAATTGCCCTAAACGTTTAGGAATTTGGGGCCAAAAAGGGGCCAAAAAACAAGAATTTTTCTAGTTTCCAGACAATAACTTGTGTTCAAGTGTATGGATCTCTCTGAAATTATACTGCAAGGTACCATACCACAAAGGGAAGGATGGGATTGAGTTTGGGGGTGATGAATCATAAGGAGGTTCAAAAAATTTGGGGGGGGGGGATTTTTTATCTTTAAAATTTTCCATTTTAAATTGGTTATTTCTGATTTATATATAAAAGCAAAAAATAATGATATGGTTTGAATAGGTAAATTAAAAATTTTTAAGTTCTCAGACCACGTCAGAAACCTATGCTGCGTCAAATATTTAATCACAATCCAAATTCAGTGCTGTATCAAGCTTGAATGTTGTGTCCATACTTGCCCCAACTGTTCAGGGTTTCGACCTCTGCGGTCGTATCAAGCTGCGCCCAGCGGAGCATTTTATTTAATTTATACCAGCTTTTAAAGCCTGCCATGCTGCAGGTGAAAAATATTTTTTAATTCATCTAAACATGAAACCATTGAACTATATTCTTTGCCTTTGGCACTACTAAACTAATATTATTTTAAGAACATTTAAACAATTAGTGCTTAAAAACTATTTAAACACTATTTGTTGATTGATAATAATAATAATAATAATAATCATAATCATATTAATGATGAGGAGGAGGAGGAGGCGGCAGTGGCTATTTTTGCCGGCTCTTAGCAAAATAGTGATTAATATAGAGTTGCTATTTTGTTGGTCTTAATTCAGATTTTCAGTATATTAATTAAGAATAGAAAGAAATATAGAAACATACCCTTTCATATTAAAATTGATATTCTAATTGTATCTGAAATTAAAAGTTACTTTACATACACTTTAATCAGAAGTCTCTAAAAAAATAACAATTTTTTTTTTTTTAAATATAATACATAAGCAAGCATGCATACTATTGATAAAAATATATCAATATAAAATATATAAAATTGATATTCTATTTAAGAATTATAAAAATATCCCATAATTTAAGTTTTGAAATTAAAAGCAAAATTCAACAACCTCAAAATGATTTACAATTAAGTGTTGCGAAACAAATGCCTTCAACTTGCTTTATTTCATGTTATAGTTTGCACAACTTCTGAAATACGCTGCCACATCAGACATGAACTGCACATAACACTTGTTTCTTTTGAGTCTGCATCACTTTTGCAAAAATTACAGATATATATACATTACATTCAACTTTGATAGGATAAATGCTCTCAATAGATTGCCATGCATCAATGACTGCAATTTCTCTTCCCACAAACCATTGAAAGATAAGCAAGACAGTCTCTTTAGACACTTTTTGATCAAAAGGAATTTACATTTCGTGCCCAGTTTTTTGGGTAATCCTATTACAGTTTGTGTTATTCCCTTAATTTGGTCTCCCGCACTTTTTGTCGAGCCTTCGACTTTAGTCGAAAAAGCAAGACATAGCGATCCTACATTCCGTCGTCGTTGTCGGCGTCCACAAATATTCACTCTGTGGTTAAAGTTTTTGAAATTTTAATAACTTTCTTAAACTATCCTTGATTTCTACCAAACTTGGACAGAAGCTTGTTTATGATCATAAGATAGTATCCAGAAGTATATTTTGTAAAAATAAAATTCTATTTTTTCCGTTTTTTACTTATAAATGGACTTAGTTTTTCTGCCGGGAAATATTACATTCACTCTGTGGTTAAAGTTTTTAAAATTTTAATAACTTTCTTAAACTATCCTGGGTTTGTACCAAACTTGGACAGAAGCTTGTTTATGATCATAAGATAGTATCCAGAAGTAAATTTTGTAAAAAAATAAATCCATTTTTTCCTTATTTTACTTTTAAATGGACTAAGATTTTCTGCCAGGAAACAACACATTCACTCTGTGGTTAAAGTTTTTAAAATTTTAATAACTTTCTTATACTATTTTGGATTTGTACCAAACTTGGACAGAAGCTTGTTTATGATCAAAAGCTAGTATCTAGAAGGAAATTTTGTAAAAAAAAATCCATTTTTTCCATTTTTTACTTTTAAATGGACTTAGATTTTCTGCCAGGAAACAACACATTCACTCTGTGGTTAAAGTTTTTAAAATTTTAATTACTTTCTTATACTATTTTGGATTTGTACCAAACTTGGATAGAAGCTTGTTTATGATCAAATGGTAGTATCTAGAAGGGAATTTTGTTTTCTTCCAGTAATCATTACATTCAGTCTGCAGTTAAAGTTTTTAAACATTTATTAGATTCATAAACTATCCTGGATTTTTACCAAACTTGGACAGAAGCTTCTTACAATCAAAAGATAGTATCAAGAGGAATATTTTTATTGATTTACTTCCTCATTTTTGTTGAGCCTGCGATTGACAGAAAAAGTAGGCGAGACACTGGGTTCCGCGGAACCTTTACAAATTTTTCATTGTAATTTTTGTACAATGAAGTGTCGTCTTTCATTTTCGAACGTCAATGTTCAACAGAAATTAACATTTTTCCTGCTACATTTACATTTAATTTCATGAGTGACATTTACCAAAAGTGAATAAACAACACCCTGAAGGCAAAGCCAGGACTGAAAAGGTTATGGACATCTGGTCACAAATATCATTTGTGCACAAATAATTTCAATAAAAAATGTATTTCATATTTTCTGAAGAAAAAAAATCTGAAATAAGACTGGCAATTTAGCAAAACTCTACATAAATCACTTTTTTGACGGATGCCAGCAAAATAGCCACTGCTAAATGATAATAATGATAATAATAGTAAGCATAATTAAAGTCAGTTAAAAGTTCAATTAATTTAAGGTAACAATAACGCAACTTAAGCGTAGACACAAGTATTATTGTTACGTTGTTAATTAATCAGTTCCTAACCCAACATAGCATTCCGGCTATTAGTGTTAATGTTTAATTTTTACTTGATCCTGTTTGGGGGTCCAGATTTGCAAATATCATTTTCATTAGATAATAATCTATTTTTATTAAAGGATATATTTCATTACATTACATTGTGTAGATAAAGTTGTTGGCATTGATAGATAAGTTGCAGATATTAGTTTGTGACAAATGAAAGAAAAAAATATTGGGAATTATAAATAATTATATATATAAAGTTTTATTACACTAAGTGTTTTTGAGATAACAAATTAAAGCATGTGGTAATTATCAATCACACAATTATAATTGGAGTGACAGATTTATTTGAAAATTTTGTGTTTCCTAAGTGTTGTTGATGATAAGCTCTGTAGGGCAGTATAAATATAGTTTGAAAATTACTGTTCATTATTAGACATTTTGAAAATAATTACAGATAAGTTTTATAGATTTTTAAAAGACATTGTATAAATGATAAATGATATTTTGGAAAAAATTTTTCTTCTTTTCTTTGGTAAATTGTTCGAAGAATTTTGTGGTAGGTTTGTTTGTTATTCTGTATAAACTAATTTTCTGAATGCTGTATATATTTTTTTTACTTGATCCCGTATTGGGGTCCAGATTTGCAAATATCATTTTCATGCAGGAAAATCCTGTTTGCTGTCACTGACTGACTGCCTCTTGTTTTTAAATAAATTTGTCAGCATGGAATGAGTTAAAACAATGATGTTCGAATTGTAAGACATGAAAGGGAATTTTTTTTTCCCAGCCATTGCTTGTTTGATCTCAAATTTGTATTATTTAGTAAATCATGGACCAGAAAAGTAGAGTGAATGGCTGTGTGATTGTGTCTGTTTTAGAATTTTTTTTATATATAGAATATTTCAATTCAGTGCTCTTTATAGCGATAGGACATAACTGGTTTGTGATGCGAAAGACAAAGTTCGAGGTGGATCTTGTTATTACTGATAATGGTTGTTTTGAAATTGTTATAATGTATGAAAATAAAATACTTACAGATAACTTGATTTTCAGTTGTTTTGATGTATTAGATATTTTGTATTCCTGTACACTTCAGTACAAATCAAAGAAAAATAATTATTTGGTAGCAGCATTACAACATAAATATTTGGCAAAATTTTCAACAAACTTTAACATACTTTATTCAAATAATTTACATTAAACAACAAGACAACAAAATAAAATAAAAAACAGGGCGAATGGGTATCGGGGTGAACGAACTCAGGGCGAACAGGTATTAGGGCAAACATGAATCAGGGCAAAAGGACCCGGATTCTTGTTTTTTTTTTGCCAACAACATAAACTACATGTTTTAGACAAGAAAATGACGTAAGAAAACGAAAAAAACTTAAAAAATGAATTTTGAAACGATTTGTGTCCTAAATTTTTTTTAGGTAGGCTGCTTT